CTCCACAGGACAGCTAATAGAACATATGCTCACCACCCATCCGGCATATTCAGAAGCGCAGGACCTGGCTCGGGCGACGCAAACAACGGTCCACGAAGTTCTGTCAGAGAGGATGCAAAGACTCCAGGACGAGGCAGGAGTATCTTCTCCAACTATACTCACCAAAGATCTACATATGTATCCTGATTTACACGGTACGCCACAGCAACTGATCCAATGCATTCTAACACCAGCCAAAGGCAATAGATCTCCACTTTCAGATTCCTCAATGCGTGGATCTATCTCTGGCCTGTCTCTCGACTCCTCCCTGTCCGACCTGACCATGAAATTCAACGTGACGCTCGAGGCGATTGCCCTACAGACGCGACACATCCTGGACGAGATGAAAACTCACGGCCACGATATACGAGTGATCTATATTTCTGGGGGTCAAGCGAAGAACCGACTTCTCGTTCAACTCCTCGCCGATGTCTGTCAAATACCAGTGATATTGCCCAATAACTATGAGGTCAGTGTCGTTCTTGGGGCGGCGATGCTTGGCAGGTTCGCGTCCGAGGTGTGCCAGGCGAAAGAGTCGGGAGGTTGGGAAGGATTCGCCTCTCAGGAGGAGGTGGACCTTGAGAGTGGCATTCTCGGAAGAAAATTATGGGATATCATGGTGAGTACATATATCTATCGTCGACTGCTTGATATGCTCATTGTATTGCAAGGTCGAAATGACGCAGGTTGGACAGATTGTCCCACCAGCAGCAGCTGCTGGAGACTTGAAGCTCTTCGATGCAAAGTATAAAATCTTTAGGGAAACGATCGATATTCAAAGACGGTGGCGAGCTATGATGCAGGACGCTACTCGATGAGTGGGTGTCCCGATTGATGTGGCCAGTTCACCTTAGCTGTTCTCGGATAGCATGAAATTGTTTAACCTCCTAAATCTTTGGTTTCTTTTGGGAATTTGAGCATTTGTGCTGCCAGATGCCACTCACCGGTCACGCCGCTGATGAATCGAATGTGGTGATTTGTGGTCATGACGGAGGACGTATCAAAGGCTCTCGAGGGCTGACTGCTCTCAGTCGATATTTACTGTAATCTTTATGGATTTGGTCTTTTCTTTGTCCTATTATCTAAAGGGAACTGGGAGACTTTGAGCCCAAATGCACCATTGCGTCCGCTACTTAGGCTTTGGGACCACCCAAACTTGGACCCTCCCTCATGACGCTGCCGTCCTTCGCGGCTCCTGATTATACAAGAATACTATAGCGATTCGTATTTCTTCCTCGCGAAACTCGATCGTGTTCTTGACGCGCACGTTAACACTGCTGATCCCCTTCCGCAAATGGCCACCGGTGAGTCCATCGTCTCCTGCGCCTCTCTGGGCTCTATCAATCGGTTCAGAGAAGATAAAACTTCTTTTATAATCGCATCATAGTCGTATCTTTGACCTAGTAGATTTACTGGGGCATTTTATGCTGACTCGACGACACAGACTCTCAACATGATGGGGCCGCGCAGTGCGACGTGCCCGATATAACGTTTACGTCTGAATCTACGACTTTCAGTCCCCAGAATCTGGGAAACTCGACGCCCAACACTCCCGTTCTGCTCCTGGCAAAGCCGCGCGAGGGTCTACAACAACAACAGCTAAACCAGGAAGCGACCACTGCCATTCAAACTGTTCGGACTCGGGACTCGGGACCTCCCATCGCACTCCTTCAGCGGCCCTTGTCCGCTCCGACATCCTTAGTCTCGCACACGGCGCCGTCCACCTCGCAACCCAATGCCCAGCCCACAGCTGGGACTCTATCCGACTCAGCGCCTGCAATGGACATTGATTCGCCAATCGTCGACGCCCTCAAATCGTCAAAAGATAGACTGTATGTGTTGAAACTAGGGGAGACCATGGAGAACCTGATTTCGCAAGGGAAGCTGTACGCACAAGTCGAGCTTCAACCCGCAAGCACCTACCAGCGTCTCCTCATCCATCGTTGCGCAGCTTTCTATCATCTCACCCAAGAGAGTAGCTCTTCTACTTCCACCGTTTCGGTCATTGTCACCGCTGATAGCCGCATGTAAGTGGATTAGCTCTCCTGACATGCTGCCAAGGGATTGACATATTCCCTTTTTGCCTGTCCTTCTACCATCCGGGATTGGATTTCGATATAGACCGTCTAAGCGTATATCTGAGCTAGTCCCACCAGAAGAAACGGTTCTGCCCGCATTCCAGATTATGCGCAGAGTAGATCGTCCAAAAACTGTGTCGAGGGCCACATCTGTCGACGGTAATCTCACTGATGAAGGGGACGAAACAAGGTCCCAAGGCAGTGGGTCGAAGAAAAAGGTACACCGCACCATTGAAGAACGAGAAGCCGACTACCATAAAGCGCGGTCGAGGATTTTCATGGATTTCGAGGAGAAGGATGCCGCGTCGTCCGGTGGTGCAGTCAGCTCAGCGGCGTCCATAGTCAGCTACACGGGAGGAAGCACAGGAATGTCCAGCGTCGATGGAGACGGAGCAAGTATTGCACCCACGGAAAGCGAGTACTCTGCACCCGCTGGCCGGGTGAAAGAGGCATGGTCGACCTCGGGTTCATACGCAGGGAGCAATGGCCGAGGCAAGCAAGCCAGTGGTGCCTCGCACTCTGCTGGGTCAATGAGGCCTTCTGCTCCACCATTTACAAGTCCAAATGTCTCCCCTCCCTTTCCTCCCCAAGGGACTGTCCATTACATTCCAGATCCAACCGTCTCGGTACCCCCAGAGGGGAATCCAGCTCATATGAGACAGGC